ATGAACAGTTTTACCTACATCAGACCACGAAGGACACCCAACATTAAATGTGATTTTGTTTCTTCCAAAACACCTTTGCACACTGGTACTGACTAGCAATCCAATATTTTCTCTTCTCCATCACTCAGCTAATGTGACCCCAGTGCTGATGGAGAGGGGCAGGGGACGGGCAAACAAGGATGCTGTGCCCAATGTCTTCCTTATCAATAGATGACATCATTTGATGTTAGGACACCAGCAGGTTGAAGGCTGCAGCGGTAGACAATAAAGACCTCAGGCTTTTTGTAACTAAAAATTCAGGATTTATCCACCTTGCTGGCTTGTATATAACTTTTTGGGCATTTTTCCAAGGCCCCCCCCCCTGTAGAAACCTGAAGGCACTCCATTGTGTCTGGGCACCCTTGTTTATTTCCCAAACCTCAAGCCTTCTCAGGGGTCTACTATATCTTAATAGAAGTTGAGATTGCACTCCTGAGGGTTGGGTCCACCACCCATCCACTGAGGCATTTATGTATGAAGGATCAGACTAAAGACGACACACATTTACATTGCGATGGTGTCGCCATCTTCTACAAAGTGACAATTTATGACTGGCCCATATCTGTCTTCATATGAAGGGTCGGGACAAAGCTGAACTACAGGTGAAACTGGAAAAATTAGAATATGGTGCAAAAGTTCATTTATTTCAGTGCAGCAACTTAAAAGGTGACACTAATATATGAGACTCATTCCATGCAAAGCAAGATAGTTCAAGCCGTGATTTGTCATCATTGTGATGATTATGGCTTACAGCTCATGAAAACCCCAAATCCACAATCTCAGAAAATGAGAATATTCCATGCAATCAATAAAACACGGATTGTACATAAACAATATCGCACCTCTGAAAAGTAGAAGCTGCATATGTACTCAGTACTTGGTTGGGGCCCCTTTTGCAGCAATTACTGCCTCAATGCGGCGTGGCATGGAACCTATCAGCCTGTGGCACTGCTGAGGTGTTATGGAAGACCAGGATGCTTCAATAGTTTCCAGAGGCTGTTACATCTGATGCCAGCCCAGAGGAACTCAGGTGTGCCAACAGACGCTCTGCTGAGGACGGGGGTAGTAGTGTGTGATGTGAGTCAGAGGACAACCCCTGGTGTGTGACGTGGGTCGGAGGACAACCCCTGGTGTGTGACGTGGGTCAGAGGACAACCCCTGGTGTGTGACGTGGGTCGGAGGACAACCCCTGGTGTGTGACGTGGGTCGGAGGACAACCCCTGGTGTGTGACGTGGGTCGGAGGACAACCCCTGGTGTGTGACGTGGGTCAGAGGACAACCCCTGGTGTGTGACGTGGGTCAGAGGACAACCCCTGGTGTGTGACGTGGGTCTGAGGACAACCCCTGGTGTGTGACGTGGGTCAGAGGACAACCCCTGGTGTGTGACGTGGGTCGGAGGACAACCCCTGGTGTGTGACGTGGGTCAGAGGACAACCCCTGGTGTGTGACGTGGGTCGGAGGACAACCCCTGGTGTGTGACGTGGGTCGGGAGGACAACCCCTGGTGTGTGACGTGGGTCGGAGGACAACCCCTAGTGAGATCCTTTCTCCTGTAACCTTCCTCTCTGTCACCAGTCGCGGGTGCTGCCAGTGCAGACTCATTTCTGTGTGTTGCAGAGGGAAGTCTGCAGGATGTTGGGGCAAATTCAGCCCAATCAGTGTCTTCCACCTCAGCAGCTGCAGCTGACATCACTGAGTCCTTCCAGGCTGATAGGTGTGAGGTCGGCCCGGAGGAGCTCAGGGGTGGTGCTGACAGATGTTCTGCTGAGGAGGACAGAGTAGAAGGGTGTGGCACAGGTCAGAGGATGACCTTGGGTGGAATAAAGTCTTCTGTGGATCTATCCTTTGTCCCCACAGCTATGAGTATCATGATTGAGGATTCATTGCTGTGCAGAGCAAAGGGAGGACCGCAGGATGATGGGGGAACACTGACCCCCTCTGAATCTGCTTTCTCAGAGACTGGATCTGACAGCACTGTATTCTCGCTGGCTGATAGGTTGGATGTCAGGCTGGAGGAACTCAGGGGTTGTGCTGACTGGTCTCTGGCTGAGGCAGAAAGAGCAGACATGTGGGAGACAGGTCCAAGTGGGGAGGTTCTGGTATCCAAGCCATGGAACCAGGTCCAGATCACCCAGGAACAACCTTATGCCAGGCTCAGGCATCTTGGTGTCGCAGCCAATGGCGAACCACCAGATGACCCTGGCCAGTGTCTGGAAATGATGACAGCACACAATGACAGGTTTGCTTGTACCCGTCCAGTCGATATTCAGCGGCCAGTGGATGAAATGGATCCGCGGGGGGATCTGCTGGCCAGTGGTGACCCAAACTCGTTAGGATCAGTCAGGGAGCTGTACAGGAGCCCTCCCCCATCGGCAGGGGGACGGGCTGAGCTGTCAGCGGTGTCAAGCTTTAGTTGGGAGAACTCCCCCCCCCCCCCCCCCAACCTAGGGAACCTTCCTGGCAGGCGCGTTAGCCGACCCGGCTCAGCTATGCGTCATCTGGAAGAGGGGAGATGTAACATACATGTAAGATTTGAGTGGATAGGATATGATCAGGGCAATAGGTAATTGTAACCACAGTGCATTCACATGTGACATAAATGTACAGATTTGAGTAGATTAGATGTAGATTCAGCCCTTTTCATTAACCTCCTTGGCGGTATTCCCGAGTGTAGCTCGGGGTAGAATTTCTATACCAAGAGCGGTAACCCCGAGCTACACTCGGCTTACCATGCAGCGTTGCTCAGGGATTCCCTGCAGCACTTACCTTGTCCTTCGCTCCCACGATGGGTCCCCTGCAGTGTCCCCGTCCATCTCCTCTGGCTGATGCCGGCATCTGGCTTCCGTGTTCCGGTCCCTGTGACGTCGGAACGTTCGGGCGGCGGAACCGGCGGGAAATTTGAAATTTTTAAAAAATGACATTTTTGCTGTCATTGCTTTTTCACTGCATTTCACATACATATTGTCCCTACTGCTTTGTCCGGCGCCCTGCCTGCATTTTGACTGTTCTTTCTGCCTGTAAACTTAGAAAAGTCCATGGCGGCCAAAAAGCATCCCTTTACGTCAAAAGCGGTTTTAGAACAGCGATAGTAAATCAGAACCACTTGCAGAATTGAGTGATAATGATTTGTGGGGAAATTCGTCATCAGACACTGAAAACGATTTTGCGACTTTGCTCAGCGATGTGCGAATTTGCCTCTGTGTTTCAAATTTCAGTGTTTTTGGTTTGATTATATTATTGAATTACATTTTTATTATTATTTATATTATTATTTTTTATGATTATTTATTAAATAATAATTTATGATTTCGTGTTTCAAGTTTTATCATATCCGGAATGTTTACTAGACTCTTTTTCGGATAGATTTCAGTGAGTTATTCCTAAAAATTACAGCCTACAATTAAAAACTACATATTTTCATGCAAAAAAAATGGTACCGCTTTCAGCACAAAATTCCTGACATGATCATAACGCCAGGGAGGTTAAGGATGTGTATTAATATGTAATCGTAACTGTAGGGACATTCCATTATTGTCATTAAGGATGTGTATTGAGTCCTTGGCATTGGGGAAATGACAAGACATTACAGACAGTGGTCATCAATTAGCATTGGCCTTCTGAAAAGCCCGGCTTCCTGGAGGTGACACCTTTTGTGTTGTCACCTTATGGAAAAACCAATTTGGAGGAAATTACAAGCAGACAGGGTGTCTGCTGGACATTGAAAGCTAAAGGTATATTTATGCATCAAAAGAAGTATGTTTAATCCCTCATAAAAGCTAAAATCTTAGTTGCAGAGAGATGAACATACTTTCTTCTTGTAGGCCATTCTGTACGGTGCATTTGCATATAAAAATCATATTTGTGGCTTGGGGAGAAAGCCAGGAAAATGCAGGAAATGGTTAGGTGGCGCTGGATCGCGACAGTTGAATGGTGTTGGGTACTGTCGCGATCGGGCTGATGCGCTGGTGTCGGAAATCCAATCCCCGACTTGGTGTTTGGGCCGGCCTTGGCCCGATTGAACTTGGGCAGGTCAGCATCCATAGCATCCTGTGGGCAGGTGCAGGAGCAGCCTCCCATGGTCGATTGGCCGAGGACTAATGTCCCACCTACGTCCATATCCCCATAAAAGGTGTACCCGGGCATTGGGACATTTGTGATTCGTACGGGTTGCTGAATTTTCTGACTTGCTCCAGTCGCAGGGTAAGGTTTTATTCTGTTTTATTCCCTTTTATTTTATAGTGAATAGTCATTTGTGTGTCTTCTTGTATTTCTTGTGTTATCTGTGACTTTTTATATTTTGTACATATTTTATGCTCCGCCCACTTCGGGAAATTAAATCTTAAAATTAATTAGTGACTTCTATGTATTTAAGCTCGGGCTCATATCTTCGGAGAGATTAGATTGTATTAGATTGTATTGTATTTTAGTGCCTTGAAATGCTCGGTCAAGCTCACTGTGTGTGGGCAGATTGTATGCAGATTGCAAAGGTAACAAATCGGCCAGACGGAGATCTGTGTGTGTGGGGTGTCCCAACAGACCGTTCTGCGGATAAACTGTTGGGTGGTGTCAGGCTACCTTTTGTGGTGTGTCTGGTGTGGGGGGTGTGGACAGTGGAGGAGTGATAACACCGGGGTTCTACTTGTAGGATAGCTGGAGGGACTCTAGAAGGGTGCGATTACTAAGCTGGTCCTCAACGCTAATCAGTGCATCAGTGCACCAGATTGTATATAAGATTTGTATCTGCCAGTGTGTGATCCACCAGCTGGATTGGAGTGGAGTCTCCATCTGGTGGTTGGCAGAGGTAGTGCGGGCTGTGAAAGTGTATCACGGCTGATCTTATATATGGTTTTAGATATTCAAAGTTGAGTCCCCTTTATTCCCTCATTACTCCCCTGTCACGGCCGCACGTGCGCGCCTCGGTTAGCTAGTCGCTGTGGGCGTGGCATGTGGTGGACACATGACAGGGTGATCCTTGACAACTTACCTCAGGCTTGTCCTGTGGGGGTGGGGAGGTCGTTGTACTCTGTGTGTCTTCCGGTAATCGGACTTCCAGCTGTAATGTCGTTCCATCTGGTAATTTCAGTTCATGATCCTTCCTCTGCAGAACCCGATCTCGTGCTGCGATAGAGAAGATTCACAGATATTGTATATTGGACCATCCAGACAGTCCTGTCCTTCCTACATTCCTCTATTCCCCCTGTACTTACCTGCCTGGAGGATCCCCTCCAGTCCTCAGTACTTACCTGCCTCCTCCTTGTAGTGTATGAGGATCCTCTCCAGTCCTCAGTACTTACCTGCCTCCTCCTTGTAGTGTATGAGGATCCCCTCCAGTCCTCAGTACTTACCTGCCCCCTCCTTGTACTGTATGAGGATCCCCTCCAGTCCTCAGTACTTACCTGTCTCCTCCTTGTAGTGTATGAGGATCCCCTCCAGTCCTCAGTACTTACCTGTCTCCTCCTTGTAGTGTATGGGGATCCCTTCCTGTCCTCAGTACTTACCTGCCCCCTCCTTGTAGTGTATGAGGATCCCCTCCAGTCCTCTGTACTTACCTGCCTTCTCCTTGTAGTGTGAGGATCCCCTCCAGTCCTCAGTACTTACCTGCCCCCTCCTTGTAGTGTATGAGTATCCCCCTCCAGTCCTCAGTACTTATCTGCCTCCTCCTTGTAGTGTATGAGGATCCCCTTCAGTCCTCGGTACTTACCTTCCTACTCATTGTAGTGTATAAGGATCCCCTCCAGTCCTCGGTACTTACCTGCCTCCTCCTTGTAGTGTATGTGGATCCCCTCTAGTCCTCAGTACTTACCTGTCTCCTCCTTGTAGTGTATGAGGATCCCCCTCCAGTCCTCAGTACTTACCTGCCTCCTCCTTGTAGTGTATGTGGATCCCCTCCAGTCCTCAGTACTTACCTGTCTCCTCCTTGTAGTGTATGAGGATCCCCTCCAGTCCTCGGTACTTACCTTCCTACTCATTGTAGTGTATGAGGATCCCCTCCAGTCCTCAGTACTTACCTGCCTCCTCCTTGTAGTGTATGAGGATCCCCTCCACTCCTCGGTAATTACTTGCCCCCTCCTTGTAGTGTATGAGGATCCCCTCCAGTCCTCAGTACTTACCTGCCTCCTCCTTGTAGTGTATGAGGATCCCCTCCAGTCCTCAGTACTTACCTGTCCCCTCCTTGTAGTGTATGAGGATCCCCTCCAGTCCTCAGTACTTACCTGCCTCCTCCTTGTAGTGTATGAGGATCCCCTCCAGTCCTCGGTACTTACCTGCCTCCTCCTTCTAGTAGTATATTATAATGCCCCCCCCCCCCCAGTACCTACCTTTCTCCTCCTTGAAGTATATGGTGATGTACCCCGGGATGCAGTCGCTGTCTCGGATCTCACACTCTCCTCCGTCTGATTTGCTTTTACTCCCAAAATACAGTTGCAGTTTATTCTTCAGCTTTTTCAGTTTCTCTGGCCCCTGGCTCCAGATTAGGGCCACAGGGTGCAGGTACTTGCTGTCCCCCATGGTGGGGTCGGTTAGTGGTCGGTGAGGTCGTACAGCCAAGTGGGGTGTGGAGGTGTTTTCTGGGTGACGATATTTATGAAGAATTAACTCCAAAAACACTTTCACTTTCTGCTACTTCAGGTCACATGTCTCTGATGGAGAGTTCCAGGAAAGGTTCCGTGTCAGTCCTGCAGCCGGCATTGACTTTCTATGAGGGATTGCTGGGACTTGCTGTTCCATATTGTACATTGGGGGGGAGGGGTGCAATGGACAGGCGGAGGAGTTCTCAGTATTAGTACACAGAATCCTCATCCATCCTCAGACACAGGAAATAGAAACATTGTTTCCTCTAAAGTTCTATTTTTTGTTACAAAGTTTCAAGTTACAGATAAAGAAGAAAGAGGAACTAAAAGGCGACATATTCTGGGATGCAGACAAGAACAAAAACCAGATGGACCCATTTACACAGACAAGGCAGTTCTCCGTATGTCCCATGGTGTCACCCCACCTCATACGTCCCATGGCGTCACCCCACACCGTACGTCCCATGGCGTCACCCCACACCGTACGTCCCATGGCGTCACCCAACACCGTACGTCCCATGGCGTCCCCCCACGCCGTACGTCCCATGGCGTCACCCCACGCCGTACGTCCCATGGCATCACCCAACACCGTACGTCCCATGGCATCACCCAACACCGTACGTCCCATGGCGTCACCCCACCACCGTACGCCCCATAGCGTCACCCCACGCCGTACATCCCATGGCGTCACCCCACACCGTACGTCCCATGGTGTCACCACCCCACACCGTGCTTACCATGGCGTCACCCCACACCGTACGTCCCATGGCATCACCCAACACCGTACGTCCCATGGCGTCACCCCACGCCGTACGCCCCATAGCGTCACCCCACGCCGTACATCCCATGGCGTCACCCCACACCGTACGTCCCATGGTGTCACCCCACACCGTGCTTACCATGGCGTCACCCCACACCGTACGTCCCATGGTGTCACCCCACACCGTGCTTACCATGGCGTCACCCCACGCCGTACGTCCCATGGCGTCACCCCACGTCGTACGTCCCATGGCGTCACCCCACGCCGTACGTCCCATGGCGTCACCAGACGCCGTACGTCCCATGGCGTCACCCCACGCCGTACGTCCCATGGCGTCACCCCACGCCGTACGTCCCATGGCGTCACCCCACGCCGTATGTCCCATGGCATCACCCCACACACTGTCACCCTTACAATCTGCCTGCAATCTGCCAACAGGCAGTGCAACTGCATACAGATTGGCAATGAATTTGACCGAGCGAATAAAGACACTAAAATACAATCCAATCTAATCTCTCCGGAGATATGAGCCCGAGCTTAGTACACAGAAGTCACTGATTAATTTTATGATTTAATATCCCGAAAGCGGGCGGTGCATAAAATATGTACAAAGTATAAAAAGTTACAGATAACACAAGAAATACAAGAAGACACACAATTGGCTATTCACTATAAAATAAAAGTGGATAAAAACAGAAATAAAACTTTTACTGAGATCTATCCTGTGACTGGATCAAGTTGGGAAAGTCAGCAATCCGTTAGTCGATAGAACCGGCTCCATACGAATCGCGACGTCCATATCCCAGGGTCCTCAATTTATGGGACTATGAACATAGGCTGGACATTAGCCCTTGGTCAATCGACTCTGGGGGGTGTTCCTGTACCCGCCCACAGGACGTTCTGGGTCCTGAAATGCCCAAAGTCAATTGGACCAGGAACGGTTTGAATCACCAAGTCGGGGATTGAATTTCCGACACCAGCGCATCAGTCCGATCGCGACAGTACCAATCACTGTTCAGCTGTTGCAATCAGGCGCCATATAACCGTTTTCTGCATTTCTTTTGGATCCTACATAGTCTACAAATACATGAAGGTGTAGCCTACAGTGTGTCCAATCAGAAGGAAGTATTTTCATCTCTCTGCGACTAATATTTTAGCTTTTATGAGAGATGAAATATATTCCTTTGATCGGCTGATATAATTTGTAGCTCCCAGACACATCGGAGCCCTCCTGGTCTCCTGCAGCCAAAATGTCTGGCGTTCCTCTTTCAAACTTCAGGAAGGTGGCAAAGTCTGATTATATATATATATATATATATAGACCAGGGGCGGATTGACAACTCATAGGGCCCCGGGGCAATAGGGGATCATGGGGCCCCTGTGTCCTTGCCCAAACTCAAAAAAGACTATGAAAAAGGTACCAAGGGCATCTCTTGGGGCCCCCTACTAACCCCGGGCCCTCGGGCAGTGCCCAAGTTTCCAAATGGTCAGTCCTCCCCTGATATAGACAAATCTTATTGGCACCCAGGTGTCACTTCCAGCCTAGAAGCAGCTCTGTCTTTTCAGATGCTAATGGGTGACCACATGTCTCTGAATACCTGACTGAATATCTGACTGAATACTTCTTTAACAACAAGGAATGAAATACGTTTACAATATTGCTACAGGTCACGTCTCAGTCCAATCACTTGAATCCCACATCTACGTTCCAGCGACCCCACACGCCCGAGGCCTAATCTCTACACGTTATTCTCAGTTATTAGCTCCCCCATCACCCTCAACTATGCAATACGCTGCAAGACGGGAGAGAGACCTCGGTCTTCACTTGGATCCCACTGACTGGGATGATGTCTGGTTAGCCACAAAATTGACTCCTCAAAATATAGCGGCCCTAGGAACCAATTACAAAGTGCTTATGAGGTGGTTCATGGTTCCCGCACAGATAGCTAAATATCTCCCCCCCTCCTACCCTTCCGCTTGCTTTAGGGAGCTGCTCCGACCCTGGCTCTCATTTCCATACTTGATGGGCTTGCCCCATGGCCAACTCTTTCTGGTCTTCCATATCCTCTCTACTATGTTTCTCCTACTCACTACCCCCTGACCCGGCCACAGCCCTCCTCAATAAACGGCCACCAGATTTGTCTCCTAGACGCATCAAGCTCCTCTTGCGGGTCACAACTGCAGCAAAACAAACTATAGCCAAGGCCTGGAAATCCTGTCACTTCCATATGCTAGAAGTGAAACGCAGGACCACCAGAGCCACGATCCATGCTGAGGTCAAAGAAGTCCTTTTAACCACCTCAATACCGGCCACTTTTACCCCCTTCCTGCCCAGACCAATTTTCAGCTTTCAGCGCTCTCACACCTTGGATGATAATTACTCATTAGTCATGTAACTGCACCCAAATGACATTTTTTTTTCCTTTTTTTTCACACAAATAGAGCTTTCTTTTTGTGGTATTTAATTAGCATGGGGTTTTTTATTTTTTTTTGCGCTGTAAATGAAAAAAAAAACTAAAAAATGTGAAAAAAATGCATTTTTCTGTTATAAAATTTTGCAAATAAGTAATTTTTCTTCATAAATTTGAGTCAAAATGTATACAGCTACATTGCTTTGGTAAAAATAATCCCAATCGGTGTGCATTATTTGGTCTGTGTGGAAGTTATAGAGTCTACAAGATACGGTACCAATCATTGGAAATTGAACACACCTGATCACTCCTGATCACACCTGACCACACCTGACCACACATGATCACACCTGACCACACATAATCACACCTGATCACACCTGATCACACCTGACCACACATGATCACACCTGATCACACGTGACCACACCTGATCACACCTGACCACACCTGATCACACCTGACCACACCTGATCACACCTGACCACACATGATCACACCTGATCACACCTGATCACACGTGACCACACCTGATCACACCTGATCACACCTGACCACACATGATCACTCCTGGTCACACCTGACCACACCTGATCACACCTGACCACACATGATCACACCTGACCACACATGATCACACCTGATCACACCTGACCACACATGATCACACCTGATCACACGTGACCACACCTGATCACACCTGATCACACCTGACCACACCTGACCACACCTGACCACACCTGATCACACCTGACCACACATGATCACACCTGATCACACGTGACCACACCTGATCACACCTGATCACACCTGACCACACATGATCACTCCTGGTCACACCTGACCACACCTGATCACACCTGACCACACATGATCACACCTGACCACACATGATCACACCTGGTCACACCTGGTCACACCTGACCACACATGATCACACCTGACCACACCTGATCACACCTGATCAAACCTGATCACTCCTGATCACACCTGACCACACCTGATTACACCTGATCACTCCTGATCACACCTGACCACACCTGATTACACCTGATCACACCTGACCACACCTGACCACACCTGATCACACCTGATCACACCTGATCACACCTGACCACACCTGATCACACCTGACCACACATGATCACAACTGACTACACCTGATCACACCTGACCACACCTGATCACACCTGACCACACCTGACCACACCTGATCACACCTGACCACACATGATCACACCTGACCACACATGATCACACCTGACCACACCTGACCACACCTGATCACACCTGACCACACATGATCACACCTGACCACACCTGATCACACCTGACCACACATGATCACACCTGACCACACCTGATCACACCTGACCACAACCGATCACATCCGACCACACCTGACCACACCTGATCACACCCGACCCACACCCGACCACACCCATCACACCCGACCACACCCGACCACACCCGATCACACCTGATTACACCCGATCACACCCGACCACACCCGATCACACCCGATCACACCTGATTACACCTGATCACACCTGACCACACCTGATCATACCTGACCACACCAGACCACACCTGATTACACCTGATTACACCTGATCACACCTGACCACACCTGATCACACCTGACCACACCAGACCACACCTGACCACACCTGATTACACCTGATCACACCTGATCACTCCTGATCACACCTGACCACACCTGATCACACCTGACCACAACCGATCACATCCGACCACACCTGACCA